ATAATGTGGTTTATAACTCATAGTCTTATTGTGACTGAGTGCATGAGGACATGTGAATATAACTCGGTCTTGATATTGTTGAAAAAGAAGAGGTACAAAATAGAAAGGGATAATTAACAATCATAATATGGCAAATAAAAAACAGACAACACCATGGCTAGAACAAAGCAGACAACACCATGGCTAGAACAAAGCAGACAACACCATGGCTAGAATAAAACAGACAACACCATGGCTAGAATAAAGCAGACAACACCATGGCTAGAATAAAGAAGAGACCACAAAACACTACACAGAAAAGTCGCAAGTGTGTAATAGGATTGTTGCACCTTCATTTGGAAAATATCTATGATCATAAAAGTTATATGTCATATAAACCTTTCATATAAAACCAAAATTTGTTGAAAAGTGCATTCTTAATACAATTTTCACTAAATTTAATTTCCAATAGGTATATCTCCAACAAATATTTTCAAATATAACCGTTTTTCAAAGTCTTAGGAGATATTGTTGATATTAATCTTTTATTTCATTTTTACAACATTCCGAAACAAGACCGCTTATATAGCAATTAATTTGACATAACTTATATTCCCAAGGGCATTAGTTCCCAAAAAATTATGTTTTACCTCATCAAGTTTCATAAATTCAAGCAAAATCTACCAAACACTGTAAGGATGGCGGGCTTACTAAGCAGACGGATTGATTGATATAATCTTTCCATTTTGATGGGGTGGTGGACAGCAAAAAATCAACTAAAAATTCAATTACAATTTTCTTTATGTACATCAAGGAAACATTGTCTTACACATTCAATGTTAATGAAGCGGAGAAGGTATAAGAATCATTTTAGTACTTTAAAAAACAAAAAGTTGGAAAAGCACTCTGGTGGTGTATAAACCGAGGTTGCCATTTCTTTTTATTTGTCGTAGAATAAACAGTTTTTATGTCTGCACAAGTTTTTTGTTCAGTTTTGGTTATGGACTAAAGTCTGTTGCCAATTTATATGAAAAAAATCATACCAAAAATAGAAATATATTCAAAACTCAAAAGTCAAAATGAGCCTGACAAAATTGTGGTAAAAAACACATAGGTGCTTGAGAACAGGATCCTGTTATGAGCCCCCAATAGTCCCCCCCTTTATTAATTTTTGAATATATATCACTTATTTGTACCATATATATACCAATATACCATATTTTAACTCTAAATATGCATGTTTACTATCAACATGAAACTCACTCTATAGTCGAGTTTCACGTTGATAGGGACTATTGGGGCTCATAACAAGATCCTGTCCTCAAGCACCTATGAAAAAACACAGAAAAGAAAAACATGTCAACAAAATACTATATACAAAAACTAGACCGAGCAACACAAACCGTGGCTGATGGTACATCCTGCTTCATATGTGGTACCCGTCATGTTGCTCATGGTCAGTGTCGATTCGGTGTCTTCCTTTGGTGATTCTTTCAAATGTCGAAAAAACTAAAAATGCCTTATTTGCAGTCTATTTATTTCTGCTGTAAGAATCAGTTTTTTTCACCAAAGGTGCATTATCCACCAACATTTCGTAAGGATATGAATTGTATGATTTCACCTATCCATGACCTTGACCTTTGACTTATGATTGATGACCCAAAACCTATTGGGGTCTTTTTTCTTTTCGTTCCAATGCGAATTCTAATCGGTTAATTCTAATGAAGGTTTGACATATGGTTCAGAAAACGGCATCCCCATAACCGAAATATTTGCCCAATTTCGGACTCAGTACCGATTGTATTGTGATCTTTGACCTAAAATTCAATAGGACTCCTCTTTATCTCGTGGATCATTATTATTCAAGCAGTAGTTGAACATATGGACCAGGATCCGTAACCAATATTTTGCCAAAATTTGAGTTTATCAAAGCCGCAGTGAAATTAACCTTTGAGTTAGCCACCATTGAACTAATAGGACAGACTTTCTTTACTCAATGGGACATTATCAAACCAAGTTTATGACTCAAAAATATTATCTGGAAATTGAAATGTTGACAACCTGACGACATTCATCAGTCCAACTACGTCACAAACCTGCTAAGAATATTGAAAGTTATCATTCCGTTAATTTTATTGATAATCGAACATGAATTGTTGCTTTAGTGCACCTGGGACATAATAATAGTCCCAGAGTGCATATATGTCATTTATGATGTCACTGCAACATTGTAAAAAAGTTCAATTAAATTGACTAAAACTAGTCATTTTACGAATATTTTTTGTTGAAATCAAATATGAACGACATTCTCACTAAAATGCAGATGTTTGACATGAACATCTTTGGATAAGTTAGCTTGAAAACAAGCTTTTGGGGTAAATCTGTTACTTATAACTAACGCCTTAATAATTATAACAAAATTTCAAAGTGATTCTATTTTTAAAAGAAGCTTATGCAGTTTCCCTTAAATCAAGGATTTGACAAATCCTTGCTTAAATCCAAGAAGTTTGAAGCCCTTAAAGAATCAAAGCACAGGGAGCGCTAATAAAACATGTTCTATTTACTCAACATTTTTTTGTGACTTTTATTTTCCCATCCTTATGTAATGGAATCACACCTGACAGGAAACTATACTGTGGCGATTAACTTCATCATTTAAAATCTCTTAAGAAAAGACTATCGACAATTGAGATTTAAAATTCAAATGACTTAGAACTTTTAGTAATTCATGTCATTCACTTGACAATATGCATGTGTGCAAGTGTCCTCCCCTTTTCTATAATAAAAACACACGATTAGACACCTAACAAATATACACTGGTATAAAATGTCATGTTATTATGAATCACATTTAATGGCCAAACTTAATTAAAATTCTACTTAATTCAATTTTAAAAAAAAAATTAATGACTCTTACTGTTACCATAATATTTTGCTTTTAATAATCAATAATTCTCTAATTATACTGCATGATCTTTGTTTAAGGGATTTCTTTACCACAAATTACTTAAAAACCTTTACTCATAACCTGTAGAAATTTTGTTAAAAAAACAGGAAATCAAATCCTTTTTCACAGTGATGTTGTTTATAGAGCCAGTACATTAAAATATGATCTATGTTAACTTATGGTAACTTTGATTAAATTTATTTTAAATTGTTATCAATATAACACTGTAATATGATCTTTGAATATTGTCTTTATTGGCACTAACATTGATGTTGTTATTAATAAATAAAAACATAACTAAATATGTATGGCTTTCCAGTTACTTTCTGTCCTGCTTCCTATTAAGATTATAAAACAATGTTTGGCTGCTGTACCCCTATTTTTCACATTTTTACCTATTATGTTTTGTTCACACATTGATGTCAATATAATGGAATTTTATGCGACTGTCATACAAGTGAGAGGTTTAGTAGCTATAAAACCAGGCTTAATCCACCATTTTCTACATAAGGAAATGCCTGTACCAAGTCAGGAATATAACAGTTGTTTTCCATTCATTTGATGTGTTTGAGCTTTTGATTTTGCCGTTTGATAAGGGACATTCCGTTTTGAATTTTCCTTGGAGTTTGGTATTTTTAGTTATTTACTTTTCAATACTTGTAGTTTGGCATTCATAAGGTTATGCTTTTCTCAGACTGTTCATGACATCTTAACAGGGATTGAAATTTTAGTCTTGGAAACATGGTATAGGCTGCACTTCTGTAAATATAGACAATGCAATTTCCTATAGGAACTCCCTTTGTGGCTAAAGCTGTGCAACTTTTACTATGAAGGTTCGTAAAAACTTTATTTCCTAGAACAGAAAGTTGATATGCACTACTTTTTTATTCAAAGGTCAAAACATAGGGCTGTGCAGCATATTTTCAACATTTATATGCCCCAAACTTCTAAGAGTTCAAACTTATACTAAAACTATGTACTACCCCTACCTTTATTTTTGGTCTGCCTCAGAATTCATTTTTCACCGGTAGTGTGTTTTTATACTGGTAACATTCCTAAGTTATTTCTCTATGAGATGAAACATAGAGATCATATCTGGGAACCAGTACGTAAACAATTTAAAATATCTATGAATATTATATACCTCCCAAAAAGAGGTGTGGCATGTGAAACAGCTGTACTTACAAAGTGCAAACTGTATGTATAATTAGTTGAAATTAGCTTTGAACTAGCTTTCAATAGAAGTAAGTACTCTTTTTGATAGGCTTTTTGTGTGCTTAGAATTGACATGATGAGAAGTCTTTTCCAACTGATATTTATAGGTTCTTATGATGTGCTGTTAAACCACTGTCCCAGGTTAGGGGATGGTTGAGTGCTCACAAACTTGTTTAATCCCACAACACTGTTTCAGTGCGTGTTCTTAGTCAGGAGCTTATTATACAGTGGTTTTTGTTGGCTGCCTGCCTTATTTTTTTTGTTTGTTGTTTTAAGGCATGATTCAGGATCTTGGTTTTCTCTTTTGAATTGTTTCCTATTTTGTCATGCAAGAACAATTTAAAGCTATGGTATAAGTTTTGTTCATTGTTGAAGGCCTTACAGTGTCGTTTATTTTTTAACATTCTTTCCTTTAGTTTCAGCTGGATATTTGTCTCATTGGCATTTTAAACCACATATATATACTTTCATTCAGATGCAGAAGCTGCCTTTCAAAACATGCAATTTAAAAGTAGTAGGGATAATATAGCCCATATTTGGCCCAAAATTGAGTGCAAATTTAAGTTAAAACTCATGTTTTAAACTTTGCACTATCATGGCATAGGTACAAATGTATTAGGTGCTCAGAATATAAAAACAAATTTCATATTTAATAAGTTACCATAAACTGTGAGGAAATTAGTCTATTTTGTAAAATTTAATTATTTCCTTGTTCTGTATCAATTTTTGAGTATACATTGGATTTTGGATTGTAAAAAGTATGGGCTCACCAAAATAACAATTTGTGCCTAAAAAATGTGAAGACATTAACAAGTTCACATTATTGAGTACCTCATTGGGCGAATAAGACAAAATAACATAAGTCTCTAAAATATTTTATTTTTTTCCTGCCAATAGAACTGACAGAGTTAATGAACTTTTAACAACAAATCTCTTCATAATAAATAACAATTAATAAATATAAAAATATTTTCCAGAAAAAGATTTTTAAAGACTGTTGGAATTACAATTAGACAGCACTTTTCTCACGAGACTCTATGGTGTTACAAATAAAAACATGACTTTGAAGCATACAATAAAACAAGTTATTGCACATAAAAAAAAAAGCAATCAATGCCTCTCCTGAGAAAAGATGTAATTCTAATAGCTATCACAGAAACTAACAAATAAAACATGAATTGAATTTTATGTACAAGACATATACACAAAAACAACATACAATCATGGGAGGGGCACATATATTTGTAAGGTTTGATTGCAAGGGATGTCTTTATGATAAATGAAAATTATTGGATGCAAAATGACTACTGCACATATTACCACTGAATATGAAATGAAAACCTCTTATATCTAGTAAAATCTGAATTTGTCGCAAAACTTTTAAACTCAATATATAAATCAAATGATTAATGATCCATTTGCATGACAATATGTTTTTCTTAATCTTTTTTTATTTGTTTTAATGCTATTGTCACAATAAAATATAATAAATCCAGTGATGTTGGTTGTTTAACTTAAAAGTAGCACAGTTCAATTCAGGTGAGTTAAATTCTTGTACTGTAAGGCAATATCATATTAAATTTTGGTGCTTAACAAAATAACCATGATGAAATTCACCCCCTAATTAGTTTGACACCTAAAGTAGTAATAGTTTCCAATAAAAAGGTACATTCTAGATGTATTCGGCCAAATATTTTGCATGAAGCTCAAAATAAAAAAAAAACAGCATTAAATTTTATAGCTTAAAGAATATGAAATTCACCAGAAACAATCATTGCACGATACCATAACTAATCACATTTTTGAAACATCAGAAGGTTCTCAGAAAATGTGAATTTCAGTCAAGCCTTGTTGACACAATATCCCCGATATGTCATTAAAGCATATGAATAAGCTGTATATTTCTAAACATTTTTTACCCCCCAAAAAGCCTAAAGTTGGACTTCAACACTGTGAACATGAAGTATATAGCTGACATAAATAACCAATGTCAACTTCTGTGCATATAAACATTTTGGTGCATTTTCTATTTTGGTGTGTAATAAAATTTGGCACTTCTATATAACATGACAATCATGACAATATTAACAACAAAAATTGCAAAAAAAAACATGGCTATAATATCCCAATTATTAGTGACAGAATTAACTCTCAAATATATAGCATTTTATCAGATGTTGAATGAATGGTTGCAAATACATTTTAATCAAGCACCAACTCCCATGAAAACCTTCACAGTGAAATAAATCAAAATATGAATTCACCAAAAAATAAACAACATGTAGGCTGACAAAAAGTGGTATTTGTATCAAATTCTGAAAAGGAAGATTACTGTACTTAATAAAAAATTATTTTATTCAGAAAGTATGGCTTTTTATTATAAAATTTCAAATACCAATGAAAAAGGGAGAACTCTTTAACATTGCAATGCAAAATTTATTAAAGATAAGAAAAGTCTGATTTCTAAAGGTTGGTTTATAATAAAAACCATCTTATGGAATTAGTATAATCCTAAGAATTCATACATTCCAGTGTCTACTCTACATACACATGTATAACATTTTTTCGTGTATAGTGAATTTGTTGAATAAGATGCACCATCCCTTTCAGTACACCCTGATCTATTTAAACATGGATGTTTTTCCTGATTGGCTGCTCTACTGTAAGTTATTACTTATTGGCTGCTCTATTGTAAGTTATTCCTGATTGGCTGAAATACTGTAAGTTATTCTTGATTGGCTGCCCTACTATACATGTCTGCATGTGATATTTGATGCTCTAATGTGTCTGATAACTTTATCAATGAGGATTTCATCTGAAATTTAAAACAAGAAAGTATTAACTTTTAATCTTTTTTTCTAATGACTTGCAGAAACCTTAAGATTACGCTATGTGTCGTTTAATAAGTAAATTCAATTTGTGACTGTAAAAACTCATCAAATTTACCAGGCTTATAATTTGGAACTGCAGACAAGCTTTTCATCTATGTCAGATTCATTAGTGGTCCTGGAATCAAACCAGCAGGAATGCCAAATCTTATATGTAATTGAAGAGCATTAAAAGCCCCAAAAATCTGAACATTTATACCAAATACAGCTATACAAGGAATCAAGATAATCCTTATATTCCATAACATTCCAGTGGATTAATATCTTCTTCACTCCACATACATCAACACCACTGTCTCAGTTTTAGAGGAGTGGATTTGGCCCCAGCAAAAATGTTCAACCCAGCCACATTCTGTATGTGTTTGTCCCAAGTCAGCTGGAGCCTGTAATTCAGTGGTTGTCGTTTGTTGCTGTATTATATATTTTTTTTCGTTTATTGTTTTGTACATAAAACCATCTTCACTAGCCAACGGTTACGATTCAGTCCCCTCCTCTCCATTCTTGGCGGATTCAGATAGATTTTCGGATCTACGAGGTAATGATTTTAAGTGGTCACAGTTGTAACTGGCTGCATCCAATCAAAAAGCGCATTAAAGATGATCACGTGTAAATGTAGAAAATGTAAATAAACAATTGCCACATGCTGATTGTTTAACAAGTCTTTACCCCTAAAACATAGTACAATATTTATTGAAAATTTTAAAGTTCTAAATCAACTAATTGAAGCTCTTGGGTACGTTTCTCGTGCAAATGTTGTAATGTCAACATATATTTTTTGGTTCCTGTTTCATGAAATTTGTAAACACTTGACACAACCATTTTTACCCCTCCATACTGAAGGGAGTTTAACAGCTGCCATTGGTCAAGAATAATGTAATCGGAATGGGCTTGACTTTTATCAACCGATAGATGGCGCAGCATTGTGATCACAAATGTTGGCTTAATCTGCCAAGAGTGGAGAGGAGGGAACTGAATTGTAACCCTTGGCCAGCTAAGATGACATAAAACAGGCTGTTAGTTTTCTCATTTGAATTGTTTTACATTTGTCTTTTTTGAGCTTTTTATAGCTCACTATGCCGTATTTGTTTTTGCTTATTGTTGAAAGCCGTACAGTGACCTAAAGCTGTTAACCTCTACATCATTTGGTCTCTGTTGGAGAGTTGTCTCCTTGCCAATCATACCACAGCTTTTTATTTTCACACAATATTTTTCATGCATAGTTAATTTGATTACCGGTAATAAGATGCACCACCACCATCAGTCCCTGCTACTCTAATAAAAACAATATTCCTAATGGGCTGCTCTACTGTAAGTTATTTCTGATTGGCTACTCTATTGTAAGTTATTCCTGATTGGCTACTTTATTGTAAGTTATTCCTTAAGCTCTCAATGCCTTGGGGTAGAAAAACCTTTGTGTTGTGTGAATAATTCAACATTTTACAAACAGAAAATTGACAGAAAATGATGGCATCAAATATATCTATATTCTATATTAGGACAGGATTAAAATATAACACAGTTATCTCCTAGTTGAACTAATAGATTGAAAAGTACCTGGTCTATCATGGTTATTGAAGAAGATAAAATTTCTTTCCACTTATGCATTTCACTGGCATGGAGGGATTGCTGTTGCTTGAGAAGTTGTATCCAATCTTCTTCAGATTTAGGTACATGGCTGAAAAAAAACAAACAACACTAGTAGTAAATTCATTAAGATTTAATATTACACAAGACTTTCAATAAATTTACTATGTATCAGTAGGGTTTTTTGATACATTTACTGAAAAGTGGTAACAAGAGGGTATCCAAATGGGTGCAAATTGGGTACTTTTATGTTATATGAGTAACAAAAATAACAAATCAAACACTACCATAATTTGATCCTATTTTCATTCATGCAAATTTAAAAAAAACATGGATTTATCATACAATCATAAGGTCACTTATATAGCAGTATATAAAAAATTCTGATAAAGCATGAATAGAGGGTTTAAGGTAAAAACTGTAAAAACTCCTTCATAATAGCCAAAACTAAAAAATGTTTTATAACTAAACTTTCCTTTAAAAGATGTCAGTGTGATGCAAAAAGGGTAAACTATGCTCATCTTTTTGGCAATGACATTAAGATAATCATAAAAAGTCTAAAGAATTTTTTTCAAATTTCAAGGGCAAAATAAAGACTTTTCTGGAAAAAAAGAAAGGCTTTTGATACACTCCACAAGAACACTGAACTTACTTTACATTAATACTGGTTTCGGAATGTGGGAAGTACAATATATTGGCATAACCTTCTAGGGACCATAACTTATAGAACAGAACTGCATTGAATATCACTAGCAAAACTAATCTGAAATATAAAAACATACGATTCATATAAACACATCTCATTTGACACATTTATTACACAAATAAGCTAACATAACTAATCTGAAAAATATAAACAAAAAAGTGATACAAGATCAGTAATTTAGAAAATCTAGGTCAAACTAATTTGGCAAATATTTTGAAAAGTCCATATCATAATGAACAGGTGTAGTTAGTTTCAAGTCCATTTCACGACAACCACTTCATGTGTGGTAAACTTTCTTAAACCTAGTACTGGAAGGATAACACACAGAATTGAAAACACTATGCCACTCCTACTATCATAGACAGGGTATACAAAATTGTGCTTGCCTAACATTACTGTCTGAGGTTTAATTTTACTTTTACTACGTTTGGCCAATTTTGGTTCTTCAAAGACAGTGGTAACAAATTTAAAAAAGTATAACAAAAATATTGGTGCTAGTTTAAAACATTAGGATATCTTTTTAATCTCATCAAACCAACAATCTCATCTTAAAAGTATCTACAGGTACCTACATAACTAAAATCACTCGGACTAGAGTATCTGCATTGAGTTTAGACAATCCTTCTTCTTTGTACACTGTATGTGTAGAGGCATCTGAAAGAAACAACAAGCAACACTATGAACTTTTTATTTCATTATAGTGTAAAAACCATTTTTTATAAGTTTTTGCAACAAGCCTTTGTCAGTTTCTATATTTTCTCTCTCAATTACAAGGTTGATTATGATCATTCAAAACAATCATTTACGGGTAAATATTACACCCAGATCCATGTTAATTTCATTAAAGTAATAAAAGTTGTTTTGAAGGGACTTTAGTGATGTGTAAACATGGTCAACTCAATCACAAAATAAAGTCCAAAGGACTAAAGTTAGTTATGGGAAGGACCATTTCATATAATGCTTTTATAACAACATACTACAAATTTGTTAAAGGTGGTAGAAAAGTGCAAAAGTGGTCAAATCAGCAAATACGCAAAATATGCAAATCGTCATTTTATAAGCTGCAATGCACTGATATCACTATATACATCAGGGAAATAGACACTTACAAGTATTTCTGACTGGTAATGGAGGTGTCACTGGTGGATGATGCTTGGCCACTTCGTTTAACGATAAATGTCTTGTGGCCTTTATTTTGGGATTTTCCTTCATATTATGCATTAACACATTTGACCTAGTTCTACGCTTTCTCAGTTTGTGTTTAGAATTTTGTGACCTCAATGTCTGTATTGATCGTTCCTTTTCACATTCCTGTTTCAGATGCAAATCCATGAATTTAAAGAAATCTTTCACACCTTCATATCCATTCTTCTCTATCATATCTGAAAGAAAAAACATAATGTGTCATCAGTTACAGCTACTCTGTGAAAGTATGTTCAATTAATGTTTTGTTAACGTGACTGTTTCATTTGTGATAAGGTTGACTTAAAACTGAATTTTGCAGGGATTGGAAACAACTTATCTTGGACACTTCCTTATTAAAACCATTGCATAAAGAAAGGTTGTAATTTTAAGGGAATTCAAAATCAGAATTACTGAAAATACTGAAAAATTCAAAAAACTTAGAGGTGATCTAGTGATTGAAGAGAATCTGATAAAAAGTAATACCCAACAAACAAGAATATGGCATATTTTTACAAGTATCCCTCCCATTACCACCCAAAAAGGATTCCAATCTTAGATTTTTCTGATTAAACACCTTATATAAGTTTTGACCTGTTGAAACCTTCATTCACATTTGAAGAGGATCTGATTTAAAATGAAACAGCTATCCTGGAGACATGATTAAATATGGCACATTTTTACAAGTCCCCATCCCGAACAAATAGTACTTCATTTCAAATTTTTCTGATTATAAGACTCATACATGGAAGGGATCTGAAAAAAATGAATTAAACAACAAAGTGGTGACTGACAGACAACAAAGTGATAAGAGACAGACAGGTCAAAAACATTTCACCCTGCAACTCTGTTGCACTAGGTATATTAAAATTAAAGATATCACTGTTATTCTTCCACACTTATATAAATTTATATAGGTACACACTTTTTACAATGCCCCAAACACTTTTCTTGTAGCGTATCTCTGTGGTAACTTTTAATCTTGATCTGTTTTTTAAGACCCTTGTTAAACAATATCTATTCACAACCTGAAAAACAATATCAAAATATAGAATGCATATAAAAGCATGTTCTTTTTGTTAGTATATCTCACACTGATTAAATACACAATTGTTGATTTCTATGATTAAGCATCCATTAATCACTTATTGCTATATTGTAGTAAGGTTTTTCAAAATAAATTAAGACCTAAATTCCATAAATTATAATCTCATTTTGTGTTTTTTTTTTAACAAAATATTTGATTAATTACTACTTAAATGAAGTGACTGTTTTGCCATAACTCTGTCAGTCAAAGATATAACTCTATAGGGTTATTACAGAAAATAACATGCGTGTGTTATTACAGATACTTTCATGAGTTGTCTACTCTTTATTCCTTAAATTTTCTAAATCTGTAATAACATATGTTTGTTATTTGTAAAATTATTTCATTTATAGTAGGCTCTAGGGAACTCTTGAGACTTTGCGCAGAAACTAAATGCATAGCCTTGATAACTAATTTTTTAATTAAATTAATTCATTTTTGATTAACCATGGTAAATCAATGAGACGAGGCTATTAAGGGATAAACTTAGCTGTGATAACAAGGCTAGGTTATTAAAGGAATGTAACTTATTATATAAGACACTTGGAAATTACTGAGAAACTTGCGCAGAACCTCATTACATGCTCTGGTCATTATTTCTTACAATAAATTAAAATACATTGTAATTAAGCATGATGTATGTCTGAGCAAATGCTTTGAAGTGATATAGAGAAGCTGTGATAACACCCTTTAGTTATTACAGGCATATTTTTTCTGTAATAACATATAGGTGTACTATGCAAAATTGGCAAACTATGAACTGTTATATCTTTCAATAGTTAAGTATACATATAGACAAAAGTAATATCAATAGAACTTTTACACATTTTAACTAAACTAATGATGTATATTGTCCCTTTGAAACATGTAACATACATATGTTATCACAGTTCTTTGATTTTTTAGTCCACAATAACAAATGTATGTTATTTCTCTGTAATAACCCTATAGAGTTATATCCCTGACTGTCTGTAAAACTTGAAATTTTGGCAGACTTGGCCTACTATGAATGTTTCCAGACCAAGGCAATGAAGTCACATATGATTCAAGTCATAATGGATGGGCTGATGTAACTAAATGTAATATCTAAATGACAAAGAAAAACAGTTACATCAACTTTCACCTCTCAAGGTCAAAATAAAGTTGACTGAAATGAATATTTTTCAGCAGGTGTTGGTTTGAAGAAGAAACAAATACCAATTTTCAAGTCTGGTTTGAACCAGCCAGGGATTAAACCAGCAACCTCCCCACAATTGAGAAGACATGCTATCATGAGACCAACAAGGCGGTAAAATTTTGGAAACTACTTAGTATTGCTCAAATGATATAAAAATAAATTTTCCTGTTAATGTATTTCTTAATGTATTTCTACCAGTAAATAAGAGTTCATTCAAAGAAAATATACAACATGTTCATATTTATTACCATAAATGTATCTCCATAGGGTATACCATTCATGTTACATTCACAGTCAATGACATACAGGGAACCAGGCTTAGATTCCTTCAAACAGGTCTGTTTTTCTGAAGTCTGAGAAGATTTTGGTCCTATTGAGTAGTTTAAGGATATTTTGTACCTCACCATTCTCATTCTCTGTCCTTCTTCTTCTTGCCAGGCAGGCAGGTTTATATCTACAATTAATGATTTAATATGCATATTTAATTCATAATGTGAAAAATATGGAATAATTCATAAAGATCATGATGGTTGTAATCTTCAAACAAAAAGAAGCAATGTTGCAATATTCAATAGTCATTTTCTGAGCATTTTCTATGTTTGTTCGTTAATCTAACCTTAAAGGGCTGCCCTGTCAAAGCTGTATAAATGGTTATTTATGTAATAGCATATAGTGCAATAATCTAGTTTTAGAGAAAACTAGAGGCTCTCAAGAGCCTGTGTCGCTCACCTGTATTTACTGATGCTTTGGAAATCATGTAAAATAAGGTTAAAATCATAATTATTAGTATTGTATATTAGATATTATAATGATATCTAAGATAATAACAAAAAACTGCAAAATTTTTGTAAAATTACTAACTCAGGGGCAGCAACCAAACAACGGGTTGTCGGATTCGTCTGAAAATTTCAGGGTAGATAAATCTAAATCTGATGAACATTTTTGCCACCTGTCAGATTTGCTCTAAATGCTTTAGTTTCAGAGATATAAACCAAAAACTGCATTTTACCCCTATGTTCTATTTTTAACCAAGTCGGCCATGATGGTTGGAATGCGGGGTCATCGGACAAATTTTTTAAACTATATACCCTAATAATGATTATAGACAAGTATGGTTAAATTTGTCTCAGTAGTTTCAGAGAAGAAGATTTTTGTAAAAGATTACAAAAATTTACAAAAAATTGTTAAAAATTGACTATTAAGAGCAATAACTCCTAAAGGGGTCAACTGACAATTTTGGTCATGACAACTTATTTGTAGATCTTACTTTGCTGAACATTATTGCTGTGTACAGTTTATCTCTATCTATAATAATATTCAAGATAATAACCAAAAACTGCAAAATTTCCTTAAAATTACCAATTCAGGGGCAGACACCCAACAACAGGTTGTCAGATTTGTCTGAAAATTTCAGGGCAGATAGATCTTGACCTGATAATCAGTTTTACCCTACGTCAGATTTACTCTTAATGCTTTGGTTTCAGAGATATAAGCCAAAATCTACATTTTACCCCTATGTTCTATTTTTAGCCACGGTGGCCATCTTGGTTGGTTGGCAGGGTCATCGGACACATTTTTTAAACTAGATACCCTAATGATGATTGTGGTCAAGTTTGGTTAAATTTGGCCCAGTGGTTTCAGAGGAGAAGATTTTTGTAAAAAGCTAACGATGACGACGACGACGACGACGCCGACGGACGCCAAGTGATGAGAAAAGCTCACTTGGCCCTTTGGGCCAGGCGATCTAAAAAAGCAGGGTTCATTTCTTTAGAAAAGTCTTAGTGTGGTATGCAATGTCAATGCAATGTTAACTCAGTATCTTGTTGTTGTATTAATTTCTGGACTTACTGCTGGGGGAGGATATAAGCACAGTTAAAATTTTATGCAAAGCAACACTTAGACCAATAAACTTTTTTTACTACCCTTTAACACTAAAATGACAAAAGATTACAGAATCAATTGATCCCATTACAAATTACACTCAAGATTTTTGCTATAGCTATTAGACAGCACTTATTCAAACACCATGTCTACAGAAAGCATGAAGTTAAAATCCTACCATATGATCTTCTTGCCTCATGGACACTGGTCATAAAAGCTGTATCTGTAAATATCATCTGGAACATTTTATCTACAGACACTGGGTATACATCATTATGGCTGACCTTTCCTACATGCTGATGAAGAGAGGTACAAGTTATCTCCCCTGAAATAAAGTAAATTACAATTTAAGATACATGTTGAAATGTTTACATTTTCATTGTAATTTTAGTGAAATTAATTCCATTCTGGCCAAAATCTAGTCCAACTCTAAACTGGTTTCTGCACTTTTGTCAAATATCATAAACAAACAGTTTGAAAATAAATGGGAAATGTGTTCATGGGGCACAGATGATGCTCCCGCTTGCATATAACACTATAAAGGTACATAACTCAAGAACGGTAAAAGTGACGCTACCCAAATTTATAGTTAATATGAGTTTTGTGGTAATAAGAACCTGTGCATAAGTTTCATAACATTTGGTTGAGGCAAACTAAAGTTAGAAAACGGAAACGAAAAATTCAGCAATTTTTCCATATGTAAAGGGGCATAACTCTAGAACGGTATAAATGACGCCACCAATATTCAAACTTGATCTGTGTTTTGTGGTAATAAGCATTGTGCATAAGTTTCATAACATTTGGTTGAGGCAAACTAGAGAAAGGAAACAAATTTTGGGATGTACGGACGGACGGACGGACGTACAGATGGACAAGGGTAAAACTTAATAAAAAATAAACACTCAAGCATTACTGCATATGATTTCATCCAAGAACTAGAATTTTCAAAACTAAATAGTTCTTTAATATATAATATCCTTCCAATGTTTTGGGGATTTCCAATTTCTATTTATAGCCTACCTTCACTTTCTTCTGTTTCATCACTAACATCTGTTGGGACTTCTTCATCTTCTTCTTTATCAATAGCTTTATGATACATATCAGCTATCAAAGAATCTTCCTCCTTTGCAGGAGGAATAAGTGCAACATCCTCTATAACTTCTTTCTGTAATTAATGTAATTATTCTTAGTGAAGGTTACAATTACTTCCTGTCGGTATTTTGTTATACCTATGTCTAAAATCTTTTGGGTTAAGAAATATAATATAATACATGTAATATAATACTATACCTGCCCTTGAATTTTTACTTGATAACATTTTTGTTCGCTTTGGAGATTCCATATATCGTCAAGTTATCGGAATTCCAATGGGGACTAACTGTGCACCACTTATTGCAGACCTGTTTTTGTATTGTTATGAGTTACAATTTATGACTAAAATCAGTAAAGACCCATCGAAACAACATCTGATACAAAAATTTAACAATACTTTTAGATATTTGGATGATATAATGGCTCTCAATAATGAAAACTTCAGTATGTATACTAAAGAAATTTATCCTGTTGAACTTACTTTAAATAAAGCTAATACTAACAATGACCACTGTCCTTTCCTCGATCTTGATATCTATATCATTAACGGGAAGCTTAATACAAAAATTTATGATAAAAGAGATGATTTTTCATTTCCTATCGTTAATTATCCATTTTTAGATGGTGACGTTCCCTTATCACCATCTTATGGTGTTTATATATCTCAACTTGTACGATTCGCTCGTGTATGTAACAAGGTATTAGATTTTAGCAAGAGAAATTTATATATTACTGAAAAATTATTACACCAGGGTTTTCGATATCATAAACTAGTCAAAACATTTACTAAATTTTATCATCGGTATAAGGACATCATTCGTAAATATAACTCAACATGCAGACATCTTATACATTCGGGTATTTCACATCCAATCTTTTATGGTAATATTCTTTACAAAGCACAAAAATGTCAGTATTCACCTAAAAAGCTAACAAAACCTTTAAACAGACTTATTAAGAAGGGATATAGTTACGATACTGTTGTCAGGTCATTAAAGATTGCATATTTTGGCTTTAATATTGATTCACTTATATGGTCTTTGCTTTGGAATTAAACATATTTATTCTAAAACCAGTTGTTGGCATTACACGGGTTATGTTCTTCTCATATATTTTATGACGGTATAATACTAAACCCCTAACAGGAGGGATTGTGCCTGATATTCATATGATGAAGACAAAATCTTTCAATCAGTTTGATTGAGGTCTGGAGCTGGCATGTCAGTAACTGCTAGTAGTCTGTTGTTATTTATGTATTATTGTCATTTGTTTATTTTCTTTTGTTTCCTATTCTGACATCGGACTCAGACTTCTCTTAAACTGAGTTTTACTGTGCGTACTGCTGTACGTTTGTTTTTTCTACATTGGCTAGAGGTATAGGGGAAGGGTTGAGATCTCAAAAAATATGTTTAACCCCGTCGCATTTTTGCGCCTGTCCCAAGTCAGGAGCCTCTGGCCTTTGTTAGTCTTGTATCATTTTTAATTTTAGTTTCTTGTGTATTATTTGGAGTTTAGTATGACGTCCATTATCACTGAACTAGTATACATATTTGTTTAGGGGCCAGCTGAAGGACGCCTCCGGGTGCGGGAGTTTCTCGCTGCATTGAAGACCCATTGGTGGCCTTCGGCTGTTGTCTGCTCTATGGTCGGGTTGTTGTCTCTTTGACACATTCCCCATTTCCATTCTCAATTTTAATGATGTACAAAAATTGGTATGAAAAATTCGTATTAGGTTCCCCGAAACCCTGTGTCTCGCCTACGATTGCTGCTGTCAGTGTAAAGGTGTAATGTTGACTTAAAAAGGGAGTCCATTCATCAGTAAAATACAGAATTTTAAAAAAAATCACTTTCTCTTTAGATGCTTTTTCTTTGTCTTAGAAGATTAGCTTCTGTCCAAGATTCATAACAATCCATGAAGGTTAACAAACTTTAATCCCAGACTGTCCATCTATCAGAAAAATACTGAAACTGAAAATATATTTTCAAAAGTTGACTTCAGACATCTGCATTATCTCTTAATCATAAAAAAGTTTTATAAAATTCTATGAAGGTTTGACAAAGTATTTGATGTGTAACAAACTTTAACCCCAGACTGTATCTACTTGTTAACTGTAAAAAAAAATAAGTCCATTTATCAATAAAATACAGAAAAATGAAAATAATTATTTTCAAAATTTTGATCTGGATACTGTATTTTGGTCATTAACAAAGCTCCTGTCCAAATTTCATGTAATTCCATGAAGGTTTGACAAAGTTATTGATGACTGAAAAACTTTAACCTCAGACTGAATCTGGATGTTAAGTGTAAAAAAAACTAAAAACTAAGTCCAATTATCAGTAAAATACGGAGAAATGAAAATAAATATTTTTTAAATTTTGCTTTAGATACTGTATTTCGGTCATAAACAAGCTTCTGTTCAAATTTCATAAAATTCCATGAAGGTTTGACAAATTTATTGATGTCTTAAAAAACTTTAACCACAGACTGAACCTAAATGTTGCACTGTTGCCGCTGGAATCTAGGATCGCTATGTCTCGCTTTTGCGAAATAAATTTCACTCTGTCCAATTTTGGTGTTTGTAAAATTGTACTTTATACTGTACAGTCATGACAGTTGGAAAAATATATGAGGTTTATTTTCATCGATTTTGCATTAAGATACAATACCAATAAATATTAATTCACCCAAATTTGATCTTTAAATTTGATCAGAATCAGGGACATGAAAAATGCAAAATTAAACCCAATGAATAGGATTGACTCTAGAATTTGAAAAATTAGAAAATCATTGAAAAGATTTTTATTTCTTTAAAAGATAAAAAATATTTTCTCTACAAAACAAATAAACATGGGACCTTTACTACTTGTACCATTTTCAATGTTTTTGTTTATTTTTTTTAATTGCTTAAATCTATGTATAATTATTGTCTTTATAGTATGATAATTAAGGATAGTACAGAAAAGAACAGATCTAGAGATAAGATCCTTTTCTAAAAGAAAAGCTATGTGTTGTAACAATGTCATGATCAGGGTAAAATCTAACAAATAAACAAAAAGTTTACCTCTATTTTATCTTCACATTCCTCTTCTTCTTCATCTTGTTCTTCCAATCCATTATAAGGAGGTACATAATCATCATCACTTGATGTAAGACCCAATTCTTCACCATAACTCATATGGACCCACTGCCACATTTCAGGGGGAGTCATTGGCTGAAATAAAAAGATTCTATAAAGTAATACAAGAACATTATTAACACAGTTTTGGGTTTTATCATTACATATTATTTCAAGTTATTAGATAATTATTTTTCCAGGTTCCCTTGAAGGGAACCCTGAGAAATAAAATCAGGTAAAAGTATGTCAAAGTTTCTAAAACTAAGAAATATAACTACTTTGTGAGGAGCACCTTTTAGCTTTGAGGAAAGTGTATGTTCTAACATCTAATTGATGATATATTCACAAACAATTTTGTAAAAAAAATCAACTGATGATCATAAATTAAATACCTCTCCAATGCTTTTAAAATTAGACTTGAAAGAATTTGAGATCAGACTTATATTCTATCAGTTTGACCTCTTTTAAATATAAGTTATTTCAGATCTTGTACAGTATACTACATGTACTATTTGTAAATGGGCAATAATATTGTAAGATCTTAATTTTGGATGAGGATCTAATATACAACTTTGAAACAAGTCGGTAAAAATAACTCTCTTTATGTTCTACTTTCAGCCACTGCTTAGAATATTTCATATTCACCTGATCTAATAATGCATTTTGCCAAATTCTAAATAGCATAAGATATGTCTTATCTCTAGCTCCGAAAGATGTGAAGAAGTATTTGTCTTTATTTGTAGTAATCTGTATGGCGTTTGGTATAACTCTGGCTGTCTTCTCCTTGGTTACAGCTGCTATCTCTTTAGCTGTGATTGTTAACTGTAATAAACAAAAGGATGTTAATCAACTAGCTACCAACAATATTAATTTGGCCATTAGGCTTACATAAACTTTTATTAAACAGTCAAAAGATATAACAGCAATCTTGTACATGAAAAAGAGGCTAAACAGAAAAACATATTTACACCATGCAGGATGTCAAATTATAGGTTTTATTGTGAGTGAAAGAAGGATATCGCTTGATATCAACTCAATTTATTTAATTTCAATATAAAAGTGAATGAGCCTTTGCAAGTTTACAATTATTATTGAAATTAAATAATGTGAGTTGATTTCAAGTGATAAAAAATTCTCACAAAATGTTAAACCTTTTTCTCTTATGATAATTATTCCCTTCGTATGGCCTTTTTTGTTGCTTGGAGTCATCGGTAGAGGCTCTGTTTGGGTTTTGCCTGATTGTAGCTTTATGTCATATAGTGGGATGTTAAAACTTGAACTTTTTGCAGATTATGACTCCCATTGGAAAAGCACACATTAGTTACACTGATTCCTTATTTCTTTCCATGATCAATGGAGTAAATTAAATGATAATGCAAATGCCATTACAGAAACAGGAAGTAACTAGATTGTTTCCACAGAGAAAGTAATCTGAAGTGACCTTTGATAGTCATAACCTCACCTACAGCAAACAGAATTGTCATAAATTGATATCACACAGCAGGAGAGGTCAACCAAAGGTACACATTTTAAGTCATTACTTGTTGATATTGCACTTCCTTCAGTAAGCTATGAATTATATACCTCTTCATGTGTGTTCTAGATAACAGGCCACAATCATTAGAGAATCAGTTTATGTAAACAGACATACACACTTTGTAAAATTGAATACAGACCTACATGTAGGATGAGACATGCAGTGGTTAATATTTCAACTGAGAATGAATAGTTATCTCTGTATACCTCCTATCTATAGCTGCATATATTCATGAACATGGATGCATATAGCTTATTGCCCAATCAAAAGGTAGCATTTCACTAAAACATGTATTACAGATTTCTCATAAATTCTTGAGAAATTTTGTTTTCATTATTTAGTCGAGCATTTAAAAATCCCTGTTCTTACATTCTACTTACAACTGTTTCCCACCGAAATATATTAGCGTAAAAACAGATCCAGTTCTGTGTAATATACATTCTACCATGTACTAAGATGTCTCTCTGTAAAGCACAGGAATAATCTGAAAGGGTGTCAACATTGCATCAAACAACAATATTTTCTTGATAAAAGAGAGACAAAAGTTAACCTCATTTAAATATCAGACTATAAAGAATATATATAATGTATCTGTACCGTAATTAAAATTGAATGCTTCTTTTTGTAAATTTATTTGGGTGTAAAAGCGTTGACCGAAGTACATTTTGTATGAAGTGGGGAAGCGCTTCATTCTAAAAATGTAAAAATGTGTGCACGGTCAACGCTTTTACAACCCTATAAAATTACTAAAAGAAGCATTCAATACTTATAATTACATTTTTTTGCTAGGATCATGAAAACACGATTTCTATCAAGTTTTTCTTTTATTTATCTGTGCACTTTATTGTGAAAGCTCGTGTCATCATGAATGTTACATATCATTTAGAATGACGCGATATTGCTGTTAGCCAATCAAAACAATGTATTATAATGAAGCATACAGGTAGTGTTATTATTGAGCAATGAAATATAAATGTATTGTTCATTTGAATATTTTTAAGGTAAAGGGGAGATAATCCAATTTAAACCATGTTTCATTGCCAATTTCAAATGCATAAACTATATGTCATGTCGCTTCTGATAGAGGTTAAAGAATTTCAACTTTTTAGCTCACCTGACCTGAAAGGTCAAGTGAGCTTTTCTCATCACTTTGCGTCCGTCGTCCTGCGTCCGTCGTCCGTAAACTTTTACAAAAATCTTCTCCTCTGAAACTACTGGGCCAAATTTGACCAAACTTGGCCACAATCATCATTGGGGTATCTAGTTTAAAAAATGTGTCCGGTGACACGGCCAACCAACCAAGATGGCCGCCATGGCTGTAAATAGAACATAGGGGTAAAATGTAGATTTTGGCTTATATCTCTGAAACCAAAGCATTTAGAGCAAATCTGACATGGGGTAAAATTGTTTATTAGGTCAAGATCTATCTGCCCTGAAATTTTCAGATGAATCGGACAACCTGTTGTTGGGTTGCTGCCCCTGAATTGGTAATTTTAAGGAAATTTTGCCGTTTTTGGTTATCATCTTGAATATTATTATAGATAGAGATAAACTGTAAACAGCAATAATGTTCAGCAAAGTAAGATCTACAAATAAGTCAACTTGACCAAAATGGTCAGTTGACCCCTTAAGGAGTTATTGCCCTTTATAGTCAATTTTTAACCATTTTTCGTAAATTTTTGTAATCTTTTACAAAAATCTTCCACTCTGAAACTACTAAGACAAATTTAACCAAACTTGTCCACAATCATCATTAGGGTATCTTGTTTAAAAAATGTGTCCGATGACCCCGCCCGTGAACCAAGATGGCCGACATGGCTAAAAAATAGTACATAGGGTAAAATGCAGTTTTTGGCTCATATCTCTGAAACCAAAGCATTTAGAGCAAATCTGATGAGTATAAAATTGTTCATTAGGTCAAGATCTATCTGCCCTGAAATTTTCTTACCAATCAGGCAACCCGTTGTTGGGTTGCTGCCCCTGAATTGGTAATTTTAAGGAAATTTTGCCGTTTTTGGTTATTATCTTGAATATTATTATAGATAGAGATAAACTGTAAACAGCAATAATGTTCAGCAAAGTAAGATCTACAAATAAGTCAACTTGACCAAAATTGTCAGTTGACCCCTTAAGGAGTTATTGCCCTTTATAGTCAATTTTTAACCATTTTTCGTAAATTTTTGTAATTTTTTACAAAAATCTTCTCCTCTGAAACTACTAAGACAAATTTAACCAAACTTGTCCACAATCATCATTAGGGTATCTTGTTTAAAAAATGTGTCCGATGACCCCGCCCGTGAACCAAGATGGCCGACATGGCTAAAAAATAGTACATAGGGTAAAATGCAGTTTTTGGCTCATATCTCTGAAACCAAAGCATTTAGAGCAAATCTGATGAGTACAAAAATTGTTCATTAGGTCAAGATCTATCTGCCCTGAAATTTTCAGACCAATCAGGCAACACATTGTTGGGTTGCTGCCCCTGAATTGGTAATTTTAAGAAAATTTTGCAGCTTTTGGTTATTATCTTGAATATTATTATAGATAGAGATAAACTGTAAACAGCAATAATGTACAGCAAAGTTAGATCTACAAATAAGGCAACATGACCAAAATTGTCAATTGACCCCTTAAGGAGTTATTGCCCGTTATAGTCAATTTTTTACAATTTTCATAAATTTTGTAAATTTTTGTAAATTTTTACAAAGTATTTTCCACTGTATCTACCGGGCCAAGTTCATTATAGATAGAGATAATAGTAAGGAGCAAGAATGTTCAGTAAAGTAAGATCTACAAACACATCACCATCACCAAAACACAATTTTGTCATGAATCCATCTGTGTCCTTTGTTTAATATGCACATAGACCAAGGTGAGCGACACAGGCTCTTTAGAGCCTCTAGTTTAATTTAGTGCATGCTAAGGGGTTTTTTTAATACAGATCGTGTAGACATTTCAAGTACATCAAAGCAGCATAAACTATCAGGTACTGAGAAAGCTCATTGAATACAGATCCTGTAGACATTTCAAGTACATCAAAGCAGCATAAACTATCAGGTACAGAGAAAGCACATTGAATACAGATTCTAAATGAAAGCTTCATAAACTATCAGGTACTGAGAAAGCTCATTGAATACAGATCCTGTAGACATTTCAAGTACATCAAAGCAGCATAAACTATCAGGTACGGAGAAAGCACATTGAATACAGATCGTGTAGACATTTCAAGTAAATTGGTTCAACAAAACCTATTATGCACGTTTAAAGCACATTGAATGCAGATCGTGTATACATTTCAAGTTAATCAAAGCAACATAAATTACTATACTATAGAATGTAGACTGTATAATGTCATTACAGAGAAAGACGAAATAAGACGCATCAATAAAAAAGTATGAAGATAGAAGAATGAATATTAATAACAATAAATCAATAGATATAAAACAAAAGGAAAATAATATTTTTATAACGTATCTATTTTAATTTTTTGGTGTCATATCAGTCAATGTGTGTCCATTTTAGCTCTCAACACAGTCAAAGTTTTAATTAACCCAAAATAGTGATAAATTTTAAAAATCAAAGCCAGCCTTGAAAAATCCTTTCTCTTAACACATGTAACAGAGAAACATTTGTACAGAAGATATAACTTCATAATGGTCAGTAAAATTATGTGAATTTTCAGTTTCAAAATTTGCCTGATTTTGGATAAATAAAGCTCTAAATACTGGAAAACTGATTTTACATGCTAGGATTGCTACATTTTGTGCCTGTTTCATATCAAGTCCAAGGAAATCTATCCAAGATGTTCTTTCGTATTTTGTTTCCTTATATTTTCTTGCTCAAGCAGACTGAGTGTTGGTGGTTGTTGCAGTTTCATGTGGATCTATTATTTTTTTCAGGCAATTTTTGTAATCTTTTATATATTACTGAAGTTTGTTAGCAAAACATAACCTCATTATTCTTTACCATGTTTACAGAAAACAAGTTTCTCCAGCTTTTCATTTTGACTTAAAATTGGGAATGATCAAAATTTCATAAATGAATATACAAACTACATTTGTACATGTAGTCTATGAACATGAAGAAGTTTCTCCAATTATAATTATCAACATGTATTTGCCAATATCATTGAAACTTTTCAGTCATTTCAGTTGAACTTTAAATTACCTGCAGAAAAAAAGATTTTGACATCAGATAATAAACAGATAAACTGTTATCACAGAGATATGTCTCGCCTTTTTGTAATTTTGATAATGCAAATGTTGAAATTAAAATAGCAATACTTTAACATGTAAGTTATGCAAATATTTAAAGTCGATGAACCATGACTGAAGGTACATGGCTGAACAATCTCCATGGAAATGAGATGTGCCAATGTTAATACAACTGCATACATAATACCATTGACTTATCATAAGTCGTTCCATTTAAACAAACCTAAACACAAACATTAACTTGTAAACTATGTAAAAGTTTCAAAGTCAATGAACCATGATGAGGGGGTGGGGCTTTATAATCTCCATGGAAATAAGACTTGCAAATGCCAATAAATTTTTCATACCAAATATCACTGACTTAACATTAGCAGTTCATCTTAAACTGAACTAATCACAAACTAAAACATATAAACTAAGCAAATGTTTCAAAGTCAATAGACCATGACTAAGGGTGCGGAGCCAAATAATCTCCATGGAAATGAGATATGCCAATGCTTATACAACTGCATACCAAATATCATTGACCTACCACTAGTCCCCATAAACTGACCTAATCACAAACTAATACATGTAAACTAAGCAAAAGTTTCAAAGTCAATCATATCAATAGACCATGACTGAGGGGGTAGGGCCGCATGATCTCCATGGAAATGAGATGTGACAATGCTTATACAACTGCATACAAAATATCATTGACCTACCACTTGTGGTTCACCATAAACTAGACCTAATCACAAACTAATACATTGTTGACGCCGCCGCCGGAAACAGCATACCTATGTCTCGCTTTTTGACTCCGTCAAGGCGAGACAATAACACATGAAAGCTTTCTATCATGAAATATCACATTATCTAACAGTTATTCATGTATAACTTACCAACTATCAGTCTCTCATCATTAGGAAGATCTTTGAAAAATTTCCTAAAATCTTCACTTCTTGACTTATATGTTGGACTAAACATCTGAAACATATTCATGATATTGGATTGAATATAAGTTGAAAATTAAGTTCTTAGTATATTACATTGATTTGAACACTACATTTCTTTTTTTAAATGTATATAATCTCAAGTGACAACTAAATAATGTATCTACATGCATGAACTTTAATGAACTTCTTAATCAATTCAAACCACTCTAATAAGTAGCTGTAATTGTTGAACTTTGACATAGATCTTCCTTTTACAAAAAAAGAACTATTTTTTCACAGTGATCAGTTTTACTAATAACAGGGTATCTGTGTAAAATAAGTTTTATTTTGAATTTAAAAGTAACAATATTCTCATACTGCAAATGTATTATACAAATTTTCAATTTAAAACCAAGAGGGCATACACTGAAATGTCTCGCCTACTTTTTACTGATTATGATTGAAATTCATTTTGTAATTAATTCTTTTAATAAGATCAAGTGCTTACTACAGGTATCATATACATGTAAATTAAATACATGTATAAGCATTCTACAGGACTGAGGTATCAGTCACATCAACTTAAAAATATCAATGATCCATGAAAATGTTTTAAGGACAGTCAACCCTGTCAGACAGACTATATACTGATTTTAGTGTTAAACATACACCCATAAACCATAAAATTTTGGAACTTCCGATGACAATGAGAGCATGTTGGATAGAGACAGATGTTTTACCTTGCAATAGAATACTTACAGACCCCTCATCATGCTCATAGCTATAGAGTTGTTGCAGAGGTTCCTCAACATGCAGAAAGTATGGAACCTTCCTTAAAGGAGACAAAAGTTTAACCTCCCCATTCAAACCAGCAGTGGCTGTGAATTTATGCATCCCACACAGTGAAATGGACACTCTGTTTTAGCATCAATTCTACGAGGTATGATAAAATTTTTATACCCCAGTCAAACCTTAGGGTTCTTTTTATTTGAGAGAGTACATGTATCTATAACATTTTCATATTTTCATTTGACTTGGAAAGCATACACTGATTTGTTCAGATAAATTTTCAGCAAGAAGTGGATAATGCATTACACAGCATATCAATACTTTCAAAAACTTCATCTAAAATTAGTGAACTACAATGTACAACACCAATTCATTAAAAATTCATCAATTGTCATCATGGTCATACAAACATGACAAATGAAAACCACATACATATTGTACATGTCTGACCCAAATAAAAGAATAGGAAAGTCTTCTACAGATAGTTATATAAGATATATGTTGTACATCTTACATTATGAACTTGAAAACATCATTCAATTGTACACAGACAGGGTAGACATTAAACTTACCGCTGAATACCATGGAGTACCTTTTTTCTTCTTCTCCGATTTCTTGGCTGATGTTGAGCTTGCTGCTTCATCCAGTGACTTTGAAGGATCACTCAACCCACTTTTTACATCAGTTTTTGAATCAACTGTCAAATTGAGATCAAGAGATTTTTCCGAACATTTGTCAATAATATTTTCTAATGATTTTTCAAATGAGTGTTCCCTAGAATGGCTGTGATTTAACTCAACACTGCTTCTACTTCCTGGCGAATCAGAAGATTTTTCTATCACTATGGATGACCTCTGATTACTACTTGCATTAGCTTTTAACCCTAGGGATGAAGTTCCAGATGACCTGTCAGATTTTGATACTATTATATCACTTGCCCTTGAACCAGAGGCCAAACTAGCAGATGAAGATCGTTCAGACCTCGTATTAGTTTCTGTATTTCCAGATCTTACACTTAGACTAGCAGATGATGATCTTTCATTTCTTTTGAATGATGAGGTCCTTAAAACTACCTTTTCTTTAAGAAATTCATTTTCCTCAGATTTTGTGACGGTGAGAAGGTCAGGGGCTGATTTTTTTCCATCACCACACGAGAACCTGGCAACAGGATGTTCTGTATATTCATTAGATGAGGAATTCTTGGATGGACTTCCAGACTTCCTGTAAAAAAATATTCTAAAATCATATAAAAACAAGAGGCTGTTAGTGTCACAGCAAACCAGATTTTCCTGCAGAGGTCGAAACCCTGAACAGTTGAGCAAGTATGGACACAACATTTAAGCTTAAAACAGCTCTGAATTTGGATTGTGATTGAATATTTGACACAGCATAGGTTTGTGACACAAAATGAATGTTGTCAAAGAACTGAAAAATTTGAAATCGGACATTTACCTATTATCATGAATATGGTCCAATATCCAAATCTAAGTACATTGTTAGAATCAGCATATCAAAGAACCCCAAGAATTCAATTTTTGATGAAATCAATCAAAGTTTAATTTGGACCCTTTAGACCTCAATATGGTATTATCTAATTGATAATAAAAATAAATACAGGTTTAGATTCAGCATTTCAAAGAACCTTATATATTTATATATATATTCAATTTATGTTGAAATCAAACACAGTTTAATTTTGGACCCCAATTTGGACCAACTTGAAAACTGGGCCAAAAATCAGAAATCTAAATTTTTTTTTTAAATCTGTCACTCCAATTATAATTGTGTGATAGATATTTACCATGCGCTAAAGTTATCTGATAGCAGGTGAAAATTATTTAAAAACACTTAGTGTAATCAAACCCACCCACCATACATCCCCAAATCAATAACCGATTTTTCCTTCGAAAATCCGGTTAAAAATAAAACTGTTTACACAGAAGTATATATATGTCTTTTAGTGAAAATTGTCACTATTTAAAACTGATCAATCAGTTTTGCTAAATTCTTAATTTATTTTATTTGTTAGTCCATCACTATAAATATATTTCAATGAATATTACATGTATATAATTGACAAAAAAAGGCTTGTGTCATGTGTGTGATGTTTTAATGTTTTATGGTTACAAAATACAATAAAATGTTATAAAGATTGGAATAGAAATATCTTTATATTTTAGGGATGTTTTTAACATGCTAATAATCATTACTTATTTCCAATGAAAAATAAAATACATGGTAAACAGTTTCCCATACATGACATGTATGAGGGTCTGGATGGGGGTCCTGTATTTTTTTATTCTTTGTTTTTGTAATTTATCTCTATTCTTTATATTTTTGGGCCATTATTCTCTATTCTTTATATCTTAGCAACCCATTATTCTCTATTCTTTATATCTTAGCACCCCATTATTCTCTATTCTTTATATCTTAGCACCCCATTATTCTCTATTCTTTATATCTTAACACCCCATTATTCTCTATTCTTTATATTTTAGCACCCCGTTATTCTCTTATTCTTTATATCTTAACACCCCATTATTCTCTATTCTTTATATCTTAACACCCCATTATTCTCTATTCTTTATATTTTAGCACCCCATTATTCTCTATTCTTTATATTTTAGCACCCCATTATTCTCTATTCTTTATATCTTAACACCCCATTATTCTCTATTCTTTATTGATTTGCCTATTTTTCTCTATTCTTTATTTTTTTTACCTTTTTTCTGCACTTTTTACCATTGTTATTCTCCATTCTGTAAACCACATTCACACCCTCATGTATATTAGTTAAAAATATTTATCAAAAAGACTGACAAAATAAAACAAAAGCTATTAGCATACCTGTAGATATAATCTGACATGAATATACTATTTCTTTTTTTTTCTTTAAGAGAAGGCCTGAATAGTTCAATAAGCATAACATCCTGCCCTAAGTATACATATATTGCTAATGAACTATTTTTTTAAATACGTTCAAATACTAGTATACAACACTCAGGTAAAAATCACTCTAGGTCATGTAGGTGGTAAATTTTTACATGTGATTGTAGGTGAATCCTTCTGAAATATTAATATCTCTATGCACATGTATATATATACCATAAGTAACATTTCACAGGATCAAAATTATCACTCTAAATCACCCAGCAGCAAAAAAACTCAACATCAGCAAGAGCGGTTTTTAACTGAAATCCCTAATGTGTACTGTATGTATAACAACCTTGAAATAGAAAGTCCCATTCTGATATTACACTGAATAAAAAATATCTAAATTTAAGGTAACATCACCTTGGATATTTGCTTCTCATTCTGATCCACCATTAGATCATTTCAACATAATATTTAAGTCACTCACCTTGGAAATTTGCTATTCATTCTGATTCAACATAAGATTATTTCTACATAAGATTTAACTCACTCACCCTGGAGATTGAATTCCTTCTCATTCTGATCCAACATTAGATTATTTCTACATAAAATTTAACTCACTCACCCTGGAGATTCACTACTCATTCTGATCCAATATTAGATTATTTCTACATAAGATTTAACTCACTCACCCTGGAGATTGAATTCCTTCTCATTCTGATCCAACATTAGATTATTTCTACATAAAATTTAACTCACTCACCCTGGAGATTCACTACTCATTCTGATCCAATATTAGATTATTTCTACATAAGATTTAACTCACTCACCCTGGAGATTCACTACTCATGTCTGATTCAACGTTAGATTATTTCTACATAAGATTTAACTTGATCACATCCCCAAATCAATAACCGATTTTTCCTTCGAAAATCCGGTTAAAAATAAAACTGTTTACACAGAAGTATATATATGTCTTTTAGTGAAAATTGTCACTGTATTTAAAACTGATCAATCAGTTTTGCTAAATTCTTAATTTATTTTATTTGTTAGTCCATCACTATAAATATATTTCAATGAATATTACATGTATATAATTGACAAAAAAAGGCTGTGTCATGTGTGCTATGTTTTAATGTTTTATGGTTACAAAATACAATCATGACAATAAAATGTTAAAAAGATTGGAATAGAAATATCTTTATATTTTAGGGATGTTTTTAACATGCTAATAATCATTACTTATTTCCAATGAAAAATAAAATACATGGTAAACAGTTTCCCGTACATGACATGTATGAGGGTCTGGATGGGGGTCCTGTATTTTTTTATTCTTTGTTTTTGTAATTTATCTCTATTCTTTATATTTTTGGGCCATTATTCTCTATTCTTTATATCTTAGCAACCCATTATTCTCTATTCTTTATATCTTAGCACCCCATTATTCTCTATTCTTTATATCTTAGCACCCCATTATTCTCTATTCTTTATATCTTAACACCCCATTATTCTCTATTCTTTATATTTTAGCACCCCGTTATTCTCTTATTCTTTATATCTTAACACCCCATTATTCTCTATTCTTTATATCTTAGCACCCCGTTATTCTCTATTCTTTATATCTTAACACCCCATTATTCTCTATTCTTTATATTTTAGCACCCCATTATTCTCTATTCTTTATATTTTAGCACCCTGTTATTCTCTATTCTTTATATCTTAGCACCCCATTATTCTCTATTCTTTATATCTTAACACCCCATTATTCTCTATTCTTTATATTTTAGCACCCCATTATTCTCTATTCTTTATATTTTAGCACCCCATTATTCTCTTTTCTTTATATCTTAACACCCCATTATTCTCTATTCTTTATTGATTTGCCTATTTTTCTCTATTCTTTATTTTTTTTACCTTTTTTCTGCACTTTTTACCATTGTTATTCTCCATTCTGTAAACCACATTCACACCCTCATGTATATTAGTAAAAAATATTTATCAAAAAGACTGACAAAATAAAACAAAAGCTATTAGCATACCTGTAGATATAATCTGACATGAATATACTATTTCTTTTTTTTCTTTAAGAGAAGGCCTGAATAGTTCAATAAGCATAACATCCTGCCCTAAGTATACATATATTGCTAATGAACTATTTTTTTTAAAAACGTTCAAATACTAGTATACAACACTCAGGTAAAAATCACTCTAGGTCATGTAGGTGGTAAATTTTTACATGTGATTGTAGGTGAATCCTTCTGAAATATTAATATCTCTATGCACATGTATATATATACCATAAGTAACATTTCACAGGATCAAAATTATCACTCTAAATCACCCAGCAGCAAAAAAACTCAACATCAGCAAGAGCGGTTTTTAACTGAAATCCCTAATGTGTACTGTATGTAAAACAACCTTGAAATAGAAAGTCCCATTCTGATATTACACTGAATAAAAAATATCTAAATTTAAGGTAACATCACCTTGGATATTTGCTTCTCATTCTGATCCACCATTAGATCATTTCAACATAATATTTAAGTCACTCACCTTGGAAATTTGCTATTCATTCTGATTCAACATAAGATTATTTCTACATAAGATTTAACTCACTCACCCTGGAGATTGAATTCCTTCTCATTCTGATCCAACATTAGATTATTTCTACATAAAATTTAACTCACTCACCCTGGAGATTCACTACTCATTCTGATCCAATATTAGATTATTTCTACATAAGATTTAACTCACTCACCCTGGAGATTGAATTCCTTCTCATTCTGATCCAACATTAGATTATTTCTACATAAAATTTAACTCACTCACCCTGGAGATTCACTACTCATTCTGATCCAATATTAGATTATTTCTACATAAGATTTAACTCACTCACCCTGGAGATTCACTACTCATGTCTGATTCAACATTAGATTATTTCTACATAAGATTTAACTTGATCACCTTGGAGATTTGCTATTTATTCTGATTCAACATTAGATCATTTCTACATAAGATTTAACTCATTCACCCTGGAGATTCCTTCTCATGTCTGATCCTACATTAGATTATTTCTACATAAGATTTAACTCACTCACTGAGGAGAATCACTACTCATGTCTGATCCAACAGTAGATTATTTCTACATAAGATTTAACTCACTCACCCTGGAGATTCACTACTCATGTCGATTCAACATTAGATTATTTCTACATAAGATTTAACCCACTCACCATGGAGATTCACTACTCATGTCTGATCCAACATAGATTATTTCTACATAAGATTTAACTCACTCACCGTGGAGATTCATTACTGACTCTGATCCAACATTAGATTATTTCTACATAAGATTTAACTCACTCACCCCGGAGATTCACTACTCATGTCTGATCCAACATTAGATTATTTCTATATAAGATTTAACTCACTTACCCTGAAGATTCCTTCTCATGTCTGATCCAACTTTAGATTATTTCTACATAAGATTTAACTCACTCACCCTGGAGATTCACTACTCATGTCTGATCCAACAAGATTCATAGATTCTTGACTACCCTCAGATAAAGGTGTGGAGTCTCCAGATTTTTTCCTAAAATAAACAATAAGAGTTCATGGTTAAATAGAAATCAATTATTTTATTATGTTTTTATATGATTTATACAAAACTAGTGTAATTTTATGTATTGATTATTATATGACGACCTAGCAAATCTAAATATTTCATCAGACTACCTATACAATCATCAATATTAATATCATAATTTGTACATTTGCACAATTGATGCATAAACAACATATTGACAAACAAACAGGGAGTGGCTGTATCCAATAAGAAACTTTGGGATGAATAAAATCAATAAAATGGAACAATTAGCCTCCCTCTAACTTACCAACTTCCCATATTGATACAACACATATTCCAGTTGTTTCTCAGTCATAATTAAAACCAAATGGATTGAAAAATATTTCAAAAGTACATTCTGTTGTATAAAATAAAATGGGAAACAAACATTGCTTTTCATCTGCAGTCAATATTCTGTTTTGCTGAGAGTCCTTAATATAAAAAAGAGAAGTGATAGGATTGCTGATGAGACAAGTATCAACCAGATTTAAAATGAAGTGGTAATTAGCAATCAATCATAGGCCACCGTACGGCCTTCAACAATGAGAACAACGTGATACCAATATACGACCGCAAAATTTTTTGCGGTCGTATAAAAACCCATACCGTATAATAGTCGGATATAAATGGTCCTGATATGAAAAATTTGAAACAAATATTCAAACAAAAAAACTAACAACCTAATTTATGACAAAACAATTTACGACACACAAATATAACAAAAAGTAGGCAATGACAACCACTGAACTACAGGCTCCTGACTTGACACAGGCACATACAGAATGTGGCAGGGTTAAACATGTAAGTGAGCACTCAACCCTTCCCTAACCTGGGACAGTGGTACAACATCACAACACCAGAACAAACTGTACAAACCCTGTTTTTTTTCAGATAAAACGGCCTTCTGACAACCAAGTGACTATAACATACTGGATTCATATCTTATTCCATAATCCAGTATGCTCTGGTGACTGCAGAAGTATTTGACTGATTATATGTACATGATGTAATGTTAATAAATTTATTCAAATAAAATGCAATTTAATTTTTGATGTACAATCACAGGTCAAAAGTGTTTCACACCTTGAAAATTACGCTAAATACATTTATTTCATACAAAAAACACTTTTTTTTATGTTTTCAAAAACTTATATCAGATCCAATTTTATTAAACTTTTGACAGTTAAACTCATAAATGTTTGCAATTCATAAGGATTATTACAAAATGTTTTTGTTTGATGAGTCATTATTGAGAATACATGTAAGACATAATTAGAATACAAATATTTAAATTCTCTACACATGCACCTATATATATATTTTTCAAGCAGTAATTATTTATATTTGTCTTTAAACAGAGATTCTTTAAACATATAACCCAAACAAAAATTTCAAAACTATTGCAAGAAACTGCAGATATTTTTGTATTTAATGGTAAAAAATTCATTCAAATCAGACACATATTAAACAACTTTATAAAACAATTTTTTTTCAAAATAAATATGAAATCTATATAAAGTCTAATTTTCAAGATATGAAACATTTTTGGCATGTGACTGTAGTTCAGATAAACTGAAGACCCAAAAACATACAAAAATTTCTATAAAAAAGTATTTTAACGATTAAAAGAAAACCAAAATATATGTAAATATATCTATATTAACTTACTGAGTATAAGTACACAGTAAGTACTGTTTGGCCACGTGGTATAACAGAAATTAGTGTTTTTATATCGCTATTGCTATTCAACTAATAGACGTAGTACATCCTGGTTACTTAACATTGTTATAAGTCATATTAAATGACCCCAAATAATTAATGTGTATAAAATACATGTACATTCATGCATGTAAAATCATCTAAAATTACAGGCCTTATCTAAAAAAAATGTAATATACACATAAGGAGATTAACTTTGGTTTTTTTGGTGGGTAAAATCCTCAACAAAATTTGATGTAATAAAATCTATTCTTTATACCCCCTTAATTCTACAAAAAAAATACACAATTGGGGTTTACTCGTGTTGACCAAACAAACTTTACCATTATAAATCAAATAATGCCTTTTTAATGTCAGGATTTAAACTGTGACAACAAAAATTTTCCTCTTTAACATTAGAAAATAAAAAACTCTTTTTCCTTGAAACATATACTGATATATATACACCTAAGTCCTTCCCCAAACTTCATTGAACTAATACCCACTAATGCAAAAAAAGTTTTTTAATTAGAGAAAAAGGTTTTTAAAAAACTTATGTTTATTGACAATGCAATGTAATTCTGTTTTAAATTAGAACAGGTTACAATCAAATATGAACTATAATACATCCAAACATGCAAGCATATTTTCATTATGCTTGCAGCTTACAAAAAACATTAAATTTCTAAGCAAAGATCACATGTTTACCTTTTCAAATTCAGCTCAAAGTTTTATTTCTATTTTAATCTAATGAAAACAACATTTGCATTTTTCTATTTACCTAGGTGTTTTAACGATTAGCTGCTTGATCAGGCGCGGGAAACTGTTGTTCTTTTTCATTTCCATTCAGTCAATTAAATCCATTCATTAAATATCCTATATGCATGTATCAACTTAATTGTCATTAATCCTCTTACAAATGTCATAATTTATTAATTATTATAACACTTAATATTGTTGACATTTTTTTATCACTCATTTTGTACAATCTTTTAAAATCACAAAAACACACGAGGCTTCCATTGGATTTAAATGTTTCAAATTTTTTGTTGTAAGTAAAAGGCCTGTTTCCTGTCCATTAAAAATAATTTGAACACTTAAGTGAATGTTTTGTTTCGGAAACCATAACATTAGGTTAAAATGTCCTGTTATTTCACACCAATTATATGTAATTGAGCAATACACATTTAAAATTAACCTTTAACACATGAGTGGTCACAATATGGCATGTCTTATAAGGTGATTGAGGTCAAAGTTTACACACTGGAAATAGTAGTACCAGTGACCCAATAACTGTCCACTTAGTATGTCAATAATACACCTGTACAGGTTATATTGAGGTTATCAGATTTATTGTCTATACATTGTACAAAAAAAAATGTATATGCCCAAAAAGATTTTATAAAAGATCTTCTCAAATGAATATATTTCAGAGTTCAAAAGGTAATCCTTTATTGCAAATTCATCAAATTAGTCACAACTGACCCTGAATTGGCCTGAATTCTTTATAATAAAGGTTTATATCTTAACTACTTTTTAAATCGATTTAAAGTATATATCTTCATTCAAATTTAAATCACCGCACTCATATCTTTAAGGTTAAAATCAAGGATGACTTACTAATTTGTTTATCTTATATAACAGTACATGTATTCAAGGAATTGTATATTTAAAAGGAATGGAAACGCGGCCCGAAATCAATCGGGATAACCGCAGAGCTATAATCCATGTCTGACACCGTCAGAAGTATGATGAATAATATAAAGAATCATGACGGTGGTCCATTTCCTGTCATATAGATCGGTCTTTTAATTCACAGGGTCATCTTGAACGATTGCTATTCAAAATAATATATAAAACAAGAGATATAGTTAAATATTGCAATCATTTGGCTATAACTGCCTATATATCTTGATCTTACAATCAGGTAAAAGAAGAGACAAGGACAAAAGGGACAACTTGTTACTACCATGACTATTATACAATCATCTTTAAATTTAATTAATATACAATGAACAGTTTATCAAAATCTCAACATATAATGTACAATGAACAAACACTTTATATTACTCTAGAATGGACTACAGGGCTTATGAAAATGGTTGAAATCATTTGACATCCAACCCAAGTACCTTTGTAAATAATTTGTCTTGGATATAATGGAAGGTACAATCATGCTTTGACTTCACCACAAAAAAGGGAATGTCACATGTACATTAAAAAAATATTAATACGTGGTAAAAAGGCATGACGACAAAATAAAGGACATGACATCTAAACATGGTATTTTGCTTCAGATAAAACGCAAGAATTTCTTTTATATTTATAAAGTTCCTCAAGAGAGACGAAATGGTAGAAATAGAAGAAGGGTTGATTAAGTTCTGAATACATGTACCATGTGCCTGAAAGACTTTTAACAATATGGAGGGAATGGAACTCCCTGTCCTGTAATCTCATTAGAGAATTTGATAATCAGTTAAATTTATTTTAAGATAATTATATATAATAATGTATTCATTGCAGTACCTAACCAACATAGCTATATATATTATGTATATCGAAATAATTAAAAACCATAAATTAAAGCTGGCTGGGAGGAGGGCACCTAAAGATTCACATGACAATACACCTGCCAAGTAAAACAAACCTGCAAAATTCACACGTTAAACAAGAGTGCACACTCGACTGCTTTACCTATCATGATTGAATTATGTTAAAAGTCTGTAACATGAAGTTTTAGTACAAGAATCACTTAAATTAACAAATATCAATGATCCATATAAATGCGGTCAAGACTCAAGGTCAGATGAAACCTGCGACATAGACATATACTTGTACACACTAAAATCATACCATACACCAAATTAAGTTAGCCTATTACATGTACTTATAATATCTGAGAAACACTACCTCATTACAAAAAATGAACAATGACCAATAAACAAAATTAGATCAAGGTCAAATGAAGCCTGCAAGAAAGACATGTACAGCTTACAATCATTCCATACACCAAATATGTCAGCCTTATTTCTTAAAGTATCTGAGCAATAGACCAAACCACCACAAAAACTTAACATTGTCCAATGAATCTGGGAAAAAAGGTCAAGGTCAGATGACACCTGCCATCAAGTCATGTACATCTACAATAATTTCATTAATAAATAAGTAAATGTAAGTGTGCATTTCATACAAAAATTAAAAAAAGCATGTATACAGGGTACATGTATATATACATGTATGAGGCATCCAGGTCCTCTACCTTCTTAAATATAAAGCTTTGTACAAATAGTTTACATTCCTGCCACTGGATTGTAATCCCTGTCTTGCATTCTGAGACATTTGACGCAGGCCAGACAAAAATCTTTGAGAGCTCATGATCAGGTAGCGTTATTAATGAAGAACTTGCCAATACCGGTACATTGTTAACTTATATCATTGATTCAATATTTTCAACAAGCAGACTTCTCATAAGACAACCAGATACTAATAAATCGGGTTCACTTTACATGCTTTACAAGCTTCTATTACATGCATTATAGGGACCTAAAAAGGAAGATGGGTTAATTTGGATCTGGAAACTATGGCCTTTAAAAACTTCAACAACATGACACAGATTAAACTTCCTGTCTAATAATCTCCTGTGACAGGAGAAACTTTAAAAAAAAAATTTTAACAATTCTGTTCATTGCAGACAAACTGTTCTTCAAACACACAAAAATATGTTAATAATTAATATTATGATAGTCAATTCTACATTTTAGCTGGACTTGGGGTGATCATCTGAAAATGAAAGTTTATCTCATTGTTGAAAGTCGTACAGTACACTATAGTTGTTAAAATCCTTCTCCTTTGGTCTCTGGTGGATTTATTGTAGTTGTCTCATTGGCATTTATTCCACATTTCCTTATACATTGTATTTATACTCTGCGTAAATTTGTGGTGTAACTACGGCCATATTTGTCAATACCTTAGGATAAAACCTAATTAATAAGTACATGAAGTACTAAGTAATTGATAATAATATTTTCCTGATATTTTCAGAAGCTTAACCCTCTTGCTGCTGCTTATTCAATGTGGCCATATGGTTACATTTTGTTTGCCAGGAACTTACAGTAGAAGCTCAATGTTTGTGACAGCACCACACCTGGCTATGACCATGATGATGTCATGCCCTGATGACATTACATTGAAGACCCATTGAAGTAAAAGAGTTCACTGTATAATCTTCGATGTTTTATTTGAAAGACACAGTAATGAACAGGTGCTTGAATAAATACACTAGTTTCATATTCATGATGTTACTGACTTTTGACTTCGGAGTATATTTATTTTTTGGACAGGTAACCTACTCTGTGGTTGGACATCCTGGCAGTGGTACTGTAAATATGGAAATTTTCGAGGCAGTTTTATTCTATTTTCATTTAACATGTTTAAGAGTGGAAACAGGAAAATAAAACTTCTTCGAATATTTCAAGGAAAACTGATTCAACAAATGAAGGCCATCCATTAACTTCTATAATATGATTATGTACATGTACAGGGCCATTTTTTTATATAACAACAGACCTATATCACAAATTTAAACTGTATTTCTAAAAGAAACAGTCATGAAAGTGTTAGAAATCAAAATTTTTAACTCACAACAGTGGAATTCAAATGAAATATAGTTTAAGCAAGCTTATATTTTGCTATAATAGAAAACTTTTTCCTAAGTAATACTCTAATAAATATACAGTTATAAGTAAATGAAATTATTTTTAAAGCAGTAACTACAAATTATTCACTAAAATGGAAGCATTTTATGTCCCTCTCTCGAGCGCAGCGTAAATTTATGTTTTACGTAAAGACTTATTGAAACCTCCATGGAGTCAGTAAACTTTTATATGGATAGTTCATTCAGCTTGAATACTTCAATTACTCATTTAGAATCACATTCATGACATTTCTTGCATAGATGTGTGAAAGTGACCCCAAAATTTTGATTTATTGGCCTAAAAAGTAGAAATTTTGAGGAATGAGAAGTATAAATGGACAAAAAGAGACCTTATAAGGAAGACAAAGAGGTCCATTAGTGGTATTTATCATCTTAAAGTCATCTTTTGTATCATATTCAACTGTTTGTAGGCAGATAAGATAAAATTTGATCATTTATTGGTCCACACTATATTCTATCATGATGAGGTTTGGTTTGGATTTTTCAAAGAAATTTTCCTCGAATCGCTGTAGATGTCGTCTTACATTATACTAGATTTTTCTCAAACTATTGAACTGATTATGACAAAACTTGACAGTAATCATGTGGTACTGCTTGAAATAAACAGTATTACAAAGGAAAAAAATCACATCCAGTTTATTCAACAAAAGAGTCTTCTTTAGGTGTAATACCACCAAATCATAGTACGTCACATGCGGTTGCATACAAAAAAGGGTCGAAAAAAAATATTCCCTTGAATTTGACAGTTGTAGGAAATTATTCCTAAATTTCATTGCAGTAAAAGATTTCTGAGTCATGAACATATATCTCAGGTGTTTAAAAGCACCATTCTTTTTTCATTGGGTGTTTCTATAAAATATTTCCGAAACTTGTGGTTACATGGTTACTAAAGCTTGTAAACAGCAAAGAAAGGGGTGGAAATTTGATTGGTTACCTTCCAGTGATGGTTATTATCTTATATGAAATGAAATGTAATGCGAATTTTTGTCTGTAGTACTGGACAGGATAAAACTTTACTCATGCCAAGTATTTCTTTATTCATTGTTATTTGAAACAAAGATCAATTCTGCACAATTTTTTGAAAAGTGCAAATTTAACAAAGACTAAATAGGGGAAAAACAATGATGGTATTATACCTACATGTACAATTTGTGCATTTTGGAAAAAAAACTTTCTGTTTTTCCTTGATACATAAAACAATGGATTTTTTTCTCCAAATTGGCACTATAAATTATAGCTTGATTTTATTTCTTTAAGTGCTCTTACATGTCTTACTTGACTGAGTACCAGGATGTCTTACCACAGAGTAGGTAACCTGTCGAAAACTTAATTAAATACTCAGAATATTCACAAACCCCTGATTGGGTCTTGAGAAATTAAAGTTTCAAAGTCAAGTTGGTAATATGAAAATAGTCTATTCAAAATATAGACATATGTGTCCCTCAGACACAGTCAGTGTGATTACATGTGTC